ACAAATTAATATTGACTAGTCTGGCTTGACCGCTAATGTGAAGAAATATATAGTACCTTTAAAAACATTGAAATAAGAGGATTGAGTTATTTTGCCCACCATGTGTCAACAATCAAACCTATAATTTTTGACAAATTAATATTGACTCATCAAAAATTATGCGGTTGATCGTTGATGTGTTAATGTTACTCGTTAGAGATGGACAAAATAATCCCTACCCACCATGAGTAGGAGATTAATTCTGATGAAGCTTGACCACTGATGTGACATTGCCACGTTAGCAATGTACATGATTTATCCTACCCACTATGGATCTCCTACTCATGATGGGTAGGAGTAATCTTGCCTACCGCTGACGTTATATTGACACATCAGCAATCAAATCTACAATTTTGACAATCCAATGTTGTCTTGTCAAAAATTGTAGGGTTGATTACTGACGTGACATCATCACATTAGCAGTGGTACATGATTTATTCTATCAATCATGGGTAGGAGTTATCTTGTCAACCGCTGATGTGACGTTGATACATTAACGGTCAAACCTACAAATTTTGACAATTTAATATGACTTGCCAGATATTTTAAGCTTCACCGCTAATATGGCATTACCACATCAGTGTTGGGCATTATTTATCCTACCCACCATGCATGGAAGTTATTTTGCCCATCGTTGATGCGACTTGACACATCAATAGTCAATCCTACAATTTTTGACAATTCAACATTAACTTGTCAAAAATTGTAGGCTAATATAGTATTACTACGTCAGTGATGGATATGATTTTATTAGACTTATCTTGCCCACTATTGATGTGACGTGTTGGTGAAGCCTATAATTTTTGACAATTCATCATTGACTAGTCAAAAATTATAGGCTTGATCATTGAAGGGGCAATGACATGATTTATCCTACACACTATGGATAAGCGATCATTTTTTATATCAATAAATCTAATAAAGTGGACCACATAATGGTTTTAAATAGAATTGATCTCTTGCCTCAGTGGGTAAGATAAAAATTTCTCATTACTGATGTGGTAAAGAGAATCATAAGTGCGCTTCTCGGAATGTATGACTGTTATATAGAATCATAGGTAAGATTTCTTTGCAATGTCAGTAGTTGGCAGTTTTTTATTTTGTCCACGGTTGGTTGGAGATCCAATATGTGGTTTTAGATATTAAACCTAAACTAAAATAGCTAGACCATTAATAAAATTTCAATAGAAATTATAATAGTACATATAAATTACACAGACACTTTTACAGGTGTTGAGATGATAGCATTTGCGTTTTTTGTCCAAAATCTAGTGAAATGTTGTCATATGACAATCTGTAAATTTATTTGTGCAATCAATAAAACTAGTTGTACAAACATGATTGTCAACCATGTGTTAGTCAAAATCCAAGCATTTGATGTAAAAAACAGTTTTTAAAAATGTATGAATGTGATGTTGTCAACCAATACTGTCAACAACGATTGTATATATAGCATGACTCGTGCAATTTGTGTACATATTTTTTTTCAAATTTCAATTACATCGTCATCCCCACCAGTCAAGGTGTTTACTTTCTCATCCATTTCTACACATAGTTGATAGTCCAAACTGCTCCCAGGAAGCAATGAGGCTTGCTGTACGTGTAGCTTTTTTGTTCCTGGTGAATCAAAAGTCTTTCTCATGAATTGAATTCCAAAGGTTTACGACCTTACCCGTTTTGGAAGCCTCGACGCTTAAATCATCTGGAGGTAATTAGATTTCCATACCCTTATCCCCTAAGTTTACAGAACACTCTTTTGAATTTCGAATATTCATGATTATGTTTCAATTTCAACAGGAGGTCTTAACTATGATAAGGACAAAATTTGACAAAGCAAAGGAAGAAGTGAATTCTGATCTGCATATTTTTGAAGCAGATCTGGTTGGGATTCTGGAAAAGAATGTAGAAAGTCAACCAGAATGGCAGGAAACTATAAAGGACTTGCTGGTTTTGTCTCGGAGCTGTGCCATGACTTCTCCTGGAGAATTTTGGCTTCAGTGTGAAGGCATAGTTCAAGATTTGGATGATAGGCGTCAGAAGCTTCCTATGGGAATGCTTAAGCAGCTTCATACTCGAATGCTTTTCATTCTCACCAGGTGCACAAGATTGTTGCAGTTCCACAAGGAAAGTGCGTTCGCTGAGGATGACCTTGTTTTTCAGCTACGACAACCACTTCAGCCTGTAGATAACCACGTTTCTCAGGTTGTGGAAAGGGACGAGAATATTCCTAGTGCTTCAAAAGACTCGAAGGCACCGTCTGCAAGAAAATATTACAGTCAAGAACAACATGGCTTAGAGTGGAAAAGAGACTACGCTGTAAAAGGAAATTTTCTACCTTCACTAGTTGACACTGCAAAGGACTTAGATTCTACTGCTGGTGGGAATCGGATGGCTTCTTGGAAGCAATTTCCATCTTCTTCTGGAAAAAGACCCAAAGAAGCAGCTTCAGCGAAGGAGCAGAATGACAATATCATAGAAGCTTCAAAAATATTAAGCAAGAGAAGAATCCATGGCGCTGATCTGCCTCCTGCTAATGCTAATGTTACTGAGCTTCCTCCAGCTAAAGATTCTATTGGACAGTCTCCCATGCCCTCCAAGCACCAACATAAAGTTTCCCGGGGCCACTGGGAAGATCAGCCAGGCATTGCTGATGAAAGCTCAATAATTTGTCGCATATGTGAGGAGGAAATTTTCACTTTGCATTTGGAAGACCATTCTAGAATTTGTGCAATTGCTGATCGATGTGACCAAAAGGGAAGTGTCAATGAGCGTCTGCTTAGAATTGCTGGAACTCTTGAGAATTTGATGGATTCATTTTCACAGAAGGACTGCCAACATGCTGTTGGAAGCCCAGATGTTGTCAAAGTATCAAACTCGAGCGTTACTGAAGAATCGGATCTTCTTTCTTCAAAACTCAGTGATTTATCTCCCAGAGGCTCAGGAGACAAGCTGGACTTTTTTCCAGAAAAAGACAATTCTGTTTTCATGGACGAACTCAAGGGTTTACCTTCATCATCAGCAGGAAGCACGATTCCTAGGTCACCCTTGATGACACCAAGAAGAAGCCAGATAGACTTGCCTTTGTCTGGGAAACGTGCTTTCTCTGAACATGATGATCGTCCTCAGGTTGATTCTGGTTTCAAAATTCATTTTCAATAAATTTCTTCTTCATTATTGTCGTCCCTGTCATCATCTGTTCATCATCTTCTCTGGAATGCATTTTATCAATGTTTTAAAAACTAGAACGGGGCATCGTACCGGAAAAGTGAAAGGATGAGGGTCAAACTGGTAATTGAAAAATAAATAAATAAATAAAATAGAATATTAGATAAGTATTAGATAGTTATTAAGGAACCAAAAAGCCTATATGAAAAAAATTAATGTTATTCAGTAAGAAATTTGTATTAAAGTGGAGATTGTTGGATTATTTTTACTCAAGTTAGGTTGGATTTTTGAGAAAATATTTTTTTCTTTATTTCACATGAATTTTTATCTTATTTCCAATCTTTGTGGTATTCCTAGGGTTTGACATACACCCCTATAAAAAATAGACTCTTTTCACACGTTTTGCATTACTAAAATATAGAATAATTGTGTAGCATAATTATTATATTTGTTTTTTTCATATTAGTCAATTGAATAAAATACTATGTTCATCTACCAATTAATTATTTGCCTTTTATTTTGTTATTTGTTTGCGATCATATACTTCGTATCGTGTCATATGTATTACCTCGATTGATTTTATTTCCCAACACCTTTGAAGTAGAAACAATGTGATGCTACAGAAATTTTGGCTTACTTTCCTCCGAGCTCAATTTGCTGAGTTATGTTTATCTGTATGATAAAGTAAAAGGACTATCCAAGAGGAGAGAAAACAGTAGAGCAAAAGATAAATTTATGGGCCTTTTGATTTGTCAATGCTGAAACATCCTCGTAGACGTCTTTATTTATTTCTTTCTTGTTAGAATCTTTTTTTTTTGAATATGAAAGGAGGGTCTTGTCCTGTACTGTTCTTGGTATCACTTGTAAACCATGATAAAAGTAGACATATTATTCGTGCATTATTTGAAAGGAATGGAATTTCATCTGCCTATGGTTTGTGCTTAGGTTGAGCATGCTTTTCTTAAATGAGATCTGTGTGGTCAATCAGTACACCCTATTCTCTCTCCAGTTTTAGAGTTAAAATTATATAGATCCCTGTCAGACCTTTGTACATACCTAATAACTGAGTGCCGATCAAAGCTGTGATTCAAGAAATGGCTCAGAAGGTGTGAGAGTGAGATCCACTTAACATTTAAGAAAATCACATGATTCGATGACATATGTTTTTGCCTCTATAGAATTTTTCAGACACTAGAAAATTATGCGTTATACGTGCTATTTGTTTTGTATATTTTTTTCTTACTTTTCTTTTGCTTCTTAATTTTATTCCAAATCTTTGTCCTAGTTTACCAGCTTTGAAATGGTTTTCTTTCTGATATGTGTCTCTATTTTATATTGCAAATTTTTTGGTTTATCAGCCAATTTATGTATCTTAAATATTTTTCTTCTTCTCTTACTTGTACGAACGTCAGTAGATAATGACCTTATTGTACATGAAACCAACCCTAGCTCAACAGGAGCTGAAGCTCCGTGTTTCAAGATTTTGTGAGGAGTTAATTTAATTATGCTGCATAGGGACTGATTGTATAACAATCTGAGAGTGCTAAAATTTTCCTAGTTGCTGTTGAACTATGAGAACGTCGATTTTATGGAATAAATTGATTACCACTGGATTCTCTTTTGAAAGATTTAGTTATCCTACTTGACAATGCAGATGAATGAACTCGCTGATATAGCTCGATGTGTAGCAAATACACCTCTGGACGACGATCGCTCTTTGTCATACCTGCTTTCCTGTATTGAAGACTCGAAAGTTATTACAGACCGCAGAAAATTTGATGCCCTCACTGTGGAGACTTTTGGAGCACGTATAGAGAAGTTGATCAGGCGAGTGTGTGACCTTTACATTGGAAAGCCACTGTATACTAACATTTGTGGAATTTAATGTCTGATTAAACTTCAATATTTTTTTACCTAATATGACTGAATTTTGATTCTGATCATCTAGGGAGAAATATTTGCAATTATGCGAATTAGTAGATGATGACAAGGTTGATGTATCAAGCACTGTAATTGACAACGATGCTTCTTTAGACAATGATGTTGTACGTAGCTTGCAAACTAGTCCTATACATTCTACCAAAGATCGGACCTCGATAGATGACTTTGAGATTATAAAACCAATCAGTAGTGGGGAATTTGGCCGCGTTTTCTTGGCAAAAAAGAGAACAACAGGGGATCTGTTTACGATAAAGGTACATAAAGAACTTACTGTTTATATTAATCTGTTCATTGATCCATCAGTTTCTGACTTGATGCCAGACTTATTTTTGCTTGAGAAATTTTGTTTTTCTTTAGGCCTTTTGTCAAGGTGGTTCTAGATTTGGTCTTCTTGGATGTACGATAACTGCTGAATGTTGTGTTGTATTTCTCTGCAAATTTCTATAGCAAGTTTTGTGTTACACATTCTAAAAAGATTCTATTGATGATGTATTTGCATAATACCTAAAAGACCATGGAGGTCATAAAACCTATGCTTCAATACCATACTTCGATATCTATATTGGACCACTTCTCTCTTCGTTATTTTGTCATGCATTTCATGAAAGTTGATGCTAATCAGTAGAAAGAGAACACCCCTGTGTCTGGCAGCTTCATCAGTAACAATGTCTACAACAACAGCAAAGTAAGTGGAAGGAAGAGAGCTTTAGCTATAACTTTTAGGATGAAGTTATTTGGAATTGGAAAAATAATATATATATTGTCACTATGTCTTAAAGTTCAAGCGTATGATCTTGAATCTGTCTTCTCTCCAATTATATTCCATGATTTCTTTAGTTTTTAAATTAGGAGATTGAGTTTTGACGGTATAAAGGGACAACTGGTGCAAAAGTTTCACCAAGTGTTGGGAGTATCTATATTATTATTTATGCGTGGGTCTCACGGAATGTGTGAATAAAAAGTAGGTAATAAATTGTCGGTAATCATCCGCTTCTCACGTTCCGTGAATAGCCGGGACATTGAGGAATATCCAGAAAAGAATTTCGGGAATCGGTCTGATTCTATCTCTGTTCCTTCCGTTTGGTCCATAGAATGTGTGGATAAAAGTGTGACTCGAGACACTGCCAAACAAACGCATAGTGCTTGTTTGGGAATGTTTAATTATAATTTAAGCAACAGGATCCCATAGAATGTTTGAATAAAAAGTGGGCAGTAAGTTGTGGGTCTACAGAATGTGTGTATACAAAGTGAGCTTCACCAGATTTAATTATAAGTTACACTTCGACTAACATGCACTAAGACATGTGTCTTTTATGGGATTAACTTGGGACGGGCTAAATTCTACTTCCTTGAAGCGAGTTGGACTTAGCTTATTCATTCCCTACAGCTGCCCTGCATATTAGGTGCAAGAGTATGGAGAACCCAAAAGATTTGTTAAGGTTTGTCTCAGCTACTCTTTTGGCTTTTGCTTTAACATATCTCACCCGGCCTGAAACATTGTCTTTATGGTTTAAGACATCATTAAGTAAGCAGAGCCAGGCATGCCCCACCCAGCCTGGCCCTGTAGTTATGCTTGTTGGAATTAATTGATTTATTTGGATCATTAAATATGTTATTTAATGATGTTTATTTGGGTCATTAAATATGTTATTTAATGATGTGGGCCGTTGTAATTAATTTGGGTGAATTGGAAAAGTCTCCAATATAGGCCCATATGTTATAAGCCCATTTAAGTGTCTTATATATGGTAAGGAATCCCACATCGAAAGTTTACAAGAAAATAGACTTGTTTATATAGTGGGATATGTGTATAAGTTATAATTTAATAAGTGACCTACAACTTGACTAACTATTAGCTAGCCAAAGGCTAGCTAACTAGTCACCACGAGAGTGGTGCTTCGCACCACTCACGCCACGCCACGCCCCGGTCCCGGTCCCGGTCCGGGCCCGCGCACGTCGCAAAGTACGCATTGGGCGCTTTAGAGGCGCACTTTGCACTTCGCACGTACGCATCGTCGCGAGGAGCTGAGGAGCCTTATAGTTTTCAGAAATGGAGTCATGGTTCGATGACATGGCGATGAGAGGCTCGATGAGTTGGCATCCTAGGTGGCACACACGTAACAGGTCACGTCACTTCGTCCTGCATGGCGGTTGGTCCTGTTGGACGTACGCGTGGCAACTGCATGGCTGGTGACTGTTCAGAATTGGTGAATAGACATGATGAATGGACACTACATTTCGTGGTTTAATCTGGTCCGTCAGATTATGAAAGAGTGCGATCCAATGGCTAAAACAGATCAGATCAAGTGGTGCACCAATTCATGAAATGTTACACACCCTTTCAAGGAGACACTTCAATCTCTATAAATAGAGACCTCCAAATTCGTTTTTTGGACACAAAAATCAATTAATATATTCTTGATTTCTAAATTCTTCTCGCTCCATATTCTGCTAAAATTCCTTCGATATTTTCGTGATTATTTCGTTCGAGTACGATCATTATTTGGTTCGACCGTCAAGGTAGGTATTGTGCAATATCGACTTTGGGAAAAGCGTTGTATCTTGGGAGACAGACGTCCATAATCCTGTTTGCACGTTGTTGGGGGGCGAAATCTGTCTTAAGGAGATTTGCTTTGGCATACCTCGCTTCGTCTTCTTCTTTTTTCCGTTTTTCCTGCTTTTTTATTTGTTCTTTCGATTGGGATAGTCGAATTTCCGACAACAATGCTTTCTTATTTTATTTCATTCATACATTCCATTACAGGGAATTGCCCCCTCTCAACATTGAAAGCACGTTAGCTATATTTGTCTCTTAGTCTTAATTGGTTAGTTTTGTGTAACAATTAGGAGAGTCTCATTTGATTATTCATATTAATCGGGCTGGATGTACTCCAAATTTATTGGGAGCAAGGCTTGTTTTGTTGTATGATCAGGCTGGCTGTATTTGACAATGCTGTGCATTTAATCTTATTATTTGCTGTAAAAAGAATTATCTCTGTGTCTATGGCATACTAAATTCTAGTTCTTCCACCATTGCGTGTGTATGGATGTATGTGTTTTTGTCTGTCTTCGTATTTGTTTATTTATTCATATTTCAGTTCTTTTATTATTGCGGGAACCAAACTTTTCGATCCAGCTAAATCGGCTAAACTGGATTTTGGCAGTACCTTGAATTCCATGTATATATACTTTAACCTGCCCCATCGACGCTCTCGTCATTATGCTTCTGAAATTCTATTCTCAATTCATTTGCTGGAAGTATCTTGTTTTTCAACTTACTTTTATATTTTGCAGGTTCTAAAGAAGGCAGATATGATATGTAAGAATGCTGTCGAGAGTATTTTGGCTGAAAGGGATATATTGATCTCAGTTAACAATCCTTTTGCGGTGAGCAGATGTAACTGGCAAAGCATTTTACTTATCTTTTGAAAAGGTCATCACTTTTTAACTTTAACATCCCATGTTTTAGGTTCGTTTCTTCTATTCATTTACCTGTCGGGAAAATTTGTATCTTGTAATGGAGTACTTTAACGGCGGAGATCTGTATTCATTACTGAGAAATCTAGGCTGCTTAGATGAAGATGTTGCTCGCGTATATATAGCTGAAGTTGTGAGTTGTTATTGGTGACTTGCTATCTTTTTCCATCTCCCTTTTAGCTCACGTGATATTGAAATATATGTTTGAGGTTGTAATATGACCAGGTGCTTGCTTTGGAATATTTGCACTCTCTGCGTGTGGTTCATCGTGATCTAAAGCCTGATATTTTGTTGATTGCACATGATGGTCATATTAAGGTAATTTTTCTAGTTTTTGGTTAATGATCTGTTTCCTTTTCCTTTCAATGTCCGTCATGAAGAGGATTTGTCAATTCATATAAAAACTGGGTATTTGCCCGTTGTAGATTGCTTTATTGCTTTCTATTTTTTGTCAGATTTTCGAATAAATATATGTAGTTTGCGCAAGGATTAACCACCAAGAAAAGGATATATATCTTTAAATAAGAAAAGAGGTAGAAGTTATCAGTTTAGTTTTGAAATTTTTAAACTTCAGGTTAATATTCCGAGTGGGCTTCATTGGATCATCCAACTCTCAGGGCATGAGTTGAACCACCCTTCTAGGACTAATTATGTATACCAATCTGCTACTGTATTTTGCTTCTTCTACATGCAATGACAGCTGAATTTTTATATTTTAATCTCCAAAGGCTTTTTTTTCTTTTTTTTTTATTTTAAATGTTAAAAGTTGATCATCTCATGTTTGTCATATAGCTAAATTAGCACCTAGTCATTTAGTTGCAATCTGGGCATCCCCATTAATGCACTGAAAGAATATATATGCTATTTCTCTCAGTCTTTCCCATAACCTGTGTTTCTTATTGCTAATAACACCGTTTCAGCATTCTACTAGCACCACCAGTTTGATGTAGTATGGTAATGGTAATGGAAGATAGAATAAGTTATTTTGTGGATTATTTCCATTTCACTTTGATTTTCCTTTATTCAGGAAGTGGGTTACTTTGGATAAAGTTTGCAATATGTTGTTCATATGCACTGCATTGTTGCTATATACTGATTACTGCAAGACTTTAGATTTATGAATTGCTTGACTGCATTATGGTATGCATGTAAATCTAAAAAGACCTAGAATGCCTTCAAAAATAATTTAAAATTCATTAATTATAGATTGCAAAAGTACTATTGATTCATGCCTTAGAACTAGAATGACTTCATATATAATTTAAAATTCATTAATTATAGATTGCAAAAGTACTATTGTTTCATGCCTTTGATAGTTTATTCTTTAAAACATTTGTAGCTCGGGGAACCTGATGCCTCGTTATCTCTATGTTTTGTCCTCCAAATATGCTGACGTGGTTAAATTCAAAAGATTGGTGCTTTCTGATCAGTAAAAATTAACCTGTATCATCTTATTGAATAGTTAACAGAATTTGGGCTATCTAGAGTCGGTCTCATCAACAGCAATGATTTATCGGGTCCAGCTGTTAGTGGAACATCCCTAATGGAAGATGATGAACCTCAATTGTCTGCATCTGAGCATCAGCAAGAAAGGCACAAGAAACGCTCTTCTGTGGGTACACCAGACTATTTGGCACCTGAGATTCTTCTAGGAACTGGGCATGGTTTGTAATCATTGATTTCTTTTGTAGTCTTATGTTGAGAAATGAACCACTCCAATTTAACAGATCTTAACAATAGTGGCCACATACCTGACAATTGTAATATGGCATTTTAAAATATAGCCAACTGTCACACTCCTCAAGAAGTTAATCATAACCATCATGAGATCATCAACTTTTCTTTTGGTTCAATCCCTCCCTCTCCCCAACAGACTCTCTAGATCCATATTTCAGCTCTCTCAAGTCCTTGCAATCACACTACCACCTTCCTGTCATAGCCAACTGCCATTCAGAATTGCAGACAAGGGGTAGGTGAAGATAATGTTGATAACGGTCAATTAATCAAAATTGATTAAAAAATGAAATCTGCAAAGGTGACATTGTTTTCTATCGATGATTGATAGTAGATGGTATCATCAAAGAATTTGCAGAATTTTGTACCAATGGACAGCAAAACAGTAGTGGAATCACGATTGATATTTTTACTGCATGATAGCTGCCTGAATTCATTATAGTAATCAGTTTGGGAACATAAAGCTTGCTTCGAGAAATGATAACAATATGTCCATTGTGGAGTAAATTGCACATAAATTACAGCACAAATGACCATGATTTCTTTGATTATCTTGATAATCATTTTACTCGTAATGGTACTTTAAGAACATGATGGCATAAAAAAATATCGTGTGAAGTTTCTGTGATTTTGCTGGACGTAGTGTACTGTTTTACTGGATCGATAAGAAGGCAATGTTATAATGGAATATTCTGCATTTTCCTCAGGCTTTACTGCTGATTGGTGGTCTGTTGGTGTTATACTATTTGAGTTGATTGTTGGAATTCCTCCTTTCAATGCTGAGCATCCTCAGGTTAGTAAATAGTTGTAACATTTTATTTTAGTGTACAGTTTTGTACATGTTTGTAAATTCAACCCTCTGTCCTCTGTACTTTTAACTTTTGAAGAGGTAGAAAGGATTGGTCATGTGTCTGCTTCTCCACTATGATCCTTGACGTTATTGAGTTTCCCAGAAGTTTGTGAGGGTTTGAGGATTCATATGAATGTGGTGATAAATCAGTGTTATCAAATAGTGTTAATATGGTACCAAAGACTTTGTTATGTGAATGGAGCATTTGAAAGTTCTCAGACACTTGCCATTCTAAAAGAACAACGCTCTCGCTAATAATCCCTTGTAATAGAGTTTTACACTCTTTGTGTGTTTATGTCAACTGGTGAAATTCTTTCAGGTTTTATGTTAATTATCATTAAAGTGTATATGAATGTTTCCATTGTGGGTTGGTGGTTCTTGTAAGAACTAGACCAAACCGGTTATTATTCGGTTTCTTTCCTAAGTAGTAGAGAATTGATCGGATCTCAATGGAAGAGAAGCTGAACCGGTCTGGTGTCCTTTAAATATTGAAAAGATAAGAATACAAAAAACCCAGTCCAGTTCTTGGTTTCCGTACTGTTAGGTTCATCTAGTTCCAATGAATTTTGCCCACCCCTAGTTTCCATCAAGTACCTTATATGGTTGTATTCTTATCTTTTTAATATTGTTGCAGAAAATATTTGATAATATTCTCAACCGCAAGATATCTTGGCCTCGGGTCCCTGAAGAAATGAGTCCTGAAGCACATGATTTTATTGATCAGTAAGAGAAGCCTTACTAATTAAAAAAAAAAATGATTATGGAGATTATATTTGTCTAAAGGCCAAAATATTATTTTGATCTTGGTCTATATTCTAGTTGACTTGCTATTACTTCTCCGGAAAAATATCTCTTATTATATCTAGGTTTTCTTCAATATCTTGGATATGAATTGGGTAGTTAATTTTTATGCTTTTTTCGGGGATCAAGAATATGTTACTTACATTATGCTTGTCTCCTTAGATGAGGATTTTGTCATATGAAATTATGATGTCGCCAATAATCAGTGTAAAGGTTAGTTGCTGTAAAAGTTGAATGGCCACTTCCGAAGAAATATTTTATAGCTTTCTGAAATTGCCAGAGATTTCTTTGCCCGTCACCTCTCTAACAAATGCTTCACACCCAACAAGATGTCGCATATGAAATTTATTTTGAACTTACAAATGGTACTGTTCTCATAAAGTTTCTGCCTTGAACTTGACATCGTTTTGTCACTCATTATGTACTTCAAAGAATAGTTAAGAAATCAGGAATGCAACTTTTTACTATCTCCATTGGCTTGCTATACTTGCCTTTCATGATTTATGCTGAATCCTTAATTTTTCTAGCAACAGATTGGTCCCTCTAGCACAGAACTATTGGTTCCCCGGTACTGTCAACCTTCAATCTGTTTCATTTTCTGAATTTAAGAAAGTGATCTGCTGCTCTTTCCTGTTTTTAGGTTACTGAAAAAAGATCCTAATGAGAGACTTGGAGCTAGAGGAGCCTCAGAGGTATAATTATTCATATTGTTTCTGATTACATGCTCTATTTGTTGGAACGATGACTGACCCAAGGGAAAAATTACTATACAGGTGAAACAGCATCCATTTTTCAGAGATATTAATTGGCACACACTTGCTAGACAAAAGGTTTGACTGCCTTATTTCTTGATCTACGCGAGGAGATATGTTCCTTTTGGTGTCAGAAATATTTTGTTTCAGTATAACAAGAATGAAATACGACTTAAAACTTAGCCATGCCTAGTAATGCTTCTATTCTTTCCAGGCTGCTTTTGTCCCTGCATCTGAGAGTGCACTGGACACCAGTCGCCTCTCCTGGAATCCTTCGGAGGAACAGGTTTATGCAGCTAATGATTTTGAAGATTCCAGTGACAATGGTAGCATGAGTGATACCAGTAGTTGCTTGAGCATTCGACATGATGAACTGGTGCTGTATTTTCTATCTCGGACCAATTGAGGTTTATGCATTAGTTCTTCGTTTATGGTTTTAATTGGGTTCATTCCTGTTGGATGATGAACAGGGAGATGAATGCGGGGGTCTTGAAGAACTCAATTTAGGAGCTGATATCGATTATTCCTTCAGCAATTTCTCGTTTAAGGTAATCTCATGCATATCAGCTGCTCAATTCTTTTTGTTTTATGTGTTAAGGGATAGAATCACACATCGAATAAAGATGTAAATATAAATCACCTTATAAAGGATTGGGTTACTCCTCTTAATAAGGTTGACCTTCTAAATAGAAACTCAGTTCTTAATATGGTATCAAACTCTAACGAGCAATTCGATCCGATTAAAACTTCAAAAGTGAGCATTTGAATTTTAAAATTGGTCTGCTCAAACGAGCCACCATCTTGCGGGGGCATGTTAAGGGATAGAATCTCACATCGAATAAAGATATAAACATAAACCAACTTATAAATGATTGAGTTACTCCTCTTAATAAGGTTGATCTTTTAAAATGGAACATCAATTCTTAACAGTATGTTCTATAGTAGTCCTTGGCGTCTATTTTATGGATTAGAACGTTTCTAAAAGACTTCTTAAATGTAAGATTTTTTTTTTTTTTTTTAATACAGATAGTATAATAATTGAGTTTAATAAGTTTACAAGTTTCAATGCTCCGGTTATTGGATTATTCAACCCATATTTGATTTTATTGGTCATTGACATCCAAAAATATATATTAATTAAAAGTGAGGAAAAAGAAATAAATGATTTTCGAAAAAAAAAGAAGCGAAATTTTAATTTAAGAAGTCTTTGGATATGCTATTAAACAAAATCCCAATCGCAAAATCAATAATGAAACGAAACAAAAAAACAAAAATGTCTATATTTACAATGGTTGGCCCTTAATATGAAAGCTATCCGTGCTACAATTTTTACCAAATCGAGAAGAAAAATTTGCAATGGAGATCTCGCACTTCCGATTCTTTTTCCACACACCAAGAAAAAGAACGACACGCAAACACACTTCAATTTTGCTTTTGAAATGAACAGTTAGTGGGATATCCTGCTGTCAAGGTCTATTGTCATTTGCTATGTGGTGATTTAATTTTGTTTGTTGTTGCTACAGAACCTGTCCCAACTCGCTTCTATCAATTACGAATTACTTAAGAAAGGTTTGAAAGACGATCCACCTGACAAATTCTAGAGCATAAATTTTGGAAACCCTGTGGTGAAGGGCTTCAATTTTAACTGTTAAGAGTTGTTTCATTTGGTTTGAGGCCCTTAATGTGTTGTAATTTGCACAGCTCTGTACAAATAGATGGTCACCATTCAACTGAACTCTTGTTTCTTCTTCAAAAAAATGAGAACACTTGCCCCCTTTTCAGTATATCTCAGTTTTGTTACTTCTGTACAAGTTGATGGTGTAAATGATAAAGCATGTGAAGTAAAATTGTGAAATAGAAATCTTTAAAAAAGAATGAATTTATTTTCTATTAACGCTGTACCTATATATTGAACAAGAAAATTAAGCCTTATTTTCAATACGTTTGAGGTCCATTACAAGAATTAATTTTTGCTCTTACTTGGTTCATCCATAGATGACACCAGAAACAGCGAAACCTTTAGCTAAAGTGACAGCTTCGGCCTCATTTCTTATGGGACATTCGAGAAAAACGAGAACAAACTCCCGATAGTATATCAGAGTAAAGAGGTGTTAAATGCAACGATGCCAGAAGCACAAATCAATTGTACCACCCCCGACTGTAAAATCGAAACAAAAACTTTCTCTGAGATAATCTTGAACCCCCACCCTAACTGTACCCCAGTAGCAACAAATCATATTAAGAAGTTCATAAATAACCAGCAAAAATGGCAGAAAATTCCATAAATAGGATCGTACGAACTCGCCCTTCCCTTGATTGTGCAATGAAGAGCCAAAGTATCCAGTGACAGCTTCGGCCTCAAACCCCTTTTGATACTCAACAAACGTGCATTTGCAGGTCTCTTCTTGTCATCTTCACTGTCACAACCTTGAAAATTCCCCAAATCCCAATAAACCAATAGAACAAATCAAACCAATTTTCAGTTTTCATCAAATCTGGATTAATATGAATCTATCTCTGTCTCTTCTTCTATGTATACTCGTGCATATATACGTGAGGAAAACAGCGCAATGGCATTGAGCTATAGTCGACTTTTTGGTATTTCTTCACGAGTCCCACTAGACGTGTTAAATTTGAACACTAGTTGATCAATAGTTGATATCATTGTAGATTAAGAATCTGTTTGACGCACATTAATAAAAAGTGCTACCATTGCAACAGTAAATGCTAGCCGCAATATTTGAAAACGACAAAAGTAAACCATCTTTTAGCATTTGAAATGTCATAATTGTCCTTTTCAAAAAAAAAAAAATTGGCATAGAACAAGTGAAGGGCAACATGGTATTTTCTCAAATTTTTTCAACTGATTCGGGCAACACAGTCAAACGTGGCTGCCAAAGTGGGCCAAGTTCACTGTATAACGGTAGAATTTTTCATTTTCATTTTCGGAAAAATGCACACCAAACAGGGGATAAATATAATTAGGACATTGCTACATATATGTCATGGTTTACGTAAGGGATTACATAATGTCAACATGACACTCTACCATTTGTCAGTTTAAAACACAGTTAACTTTTCATTCAATTTTTTCCCTCCACATCTTTTTCGGTAACCGCTAATCTACAATTTTTACATACAAGTAGCAACATCCATATAATTAATAAGAATGTCTTATCTTTTAAACTTAAAAATATGCCCTTTTAGATGACGGGCTCAACATATTACCAATAAATAACTTGTAGATGTGTTAAATTTTTGAAGAGACAAAATGTACGGTTGATTTTCAAGAAAGCAGGCATTTCTGATTTCTTCATAATCAGATTTTCCCTGAATTGATTTTTTCTTTCTCATTTCCTATGCCTCTGTCGGAAAAAATGATAGTCTCAGCATTTAGGATAATATGATCTAACGCAGCGGCGGATTCAACATCCGGTGAGTTCTAACGGCCTCCCGTGCTGGATTCAGTGACATTCAATTTTTTTTTTTAGGTGCTGTATTTATTTATTTGGATATATAACTGTGATTTCCTTTTATTCACATAATATAATGCTATGGTAGTTCAGTTGGTTAGAGTACCATCCATGTAAATGGGAGTCTTGGATTTGAATCTCAACTATAGCAATCCCTATTAAAATTATTTTAGTTTAATCCCAACCATTTTGGAGTATATAGGCATTATAAAAACTAGTGCAATTGGAAGATTCAAACCTATGATCATTTGTTGAAATTATGAAACACTTCACCACTATGGCATTAGGGGGATGTTAACAATTAGTGTAACAAAATTCTATATGATCTTTTATCGAGTAATAGGCATATTCTCCCTTTGTTTTTAATTTTTTTAAAACTAAAATTTGATCTTACAATGAGATTATTAAAATAGTCATTTTTTTGTTAGACTGAAATTATTAGCAAATCGAAACAAGAAAGTAAATAATTAAACCTGTTTTTTCAAACTTCAAATTGTTATTCGTTAAACATTATTAGACTAATAAATAACATACACCTACACCTACAATTTGAATTACGATATAAGTAAGTTCAGTTCACAACTTTAGTTATTAATGCGGCTGTCAAGTCTGTGCTCACTCAAAATCCTAGATCCGCCACTGATCTAACGGATAGATTTTTGACAAGGTGCATTAGAAGTTGAAATCAAATGAGTTTTATTTTACCTTTTGCTTTTAAACCGTATTTGAAGAGGAAATTATATAGAAGCCGGTGTTTAAATTTTCAAGTTTAAAAATCAGGGGGGAAGTTTTTTAATCAAAATTCAGGTTTCAAATTTCTAATATTATATAATAAATTATAAAATTGAATTAATTTAACATATCCACCCACCTGCTTCTACCCCCACCGAATTTCATTCATTTTCTCCTCTACGTTCTCTCTCTATCTTATCCCTTCCCCCCTTTTTTCCCTTTATCACACAGTAAACCAGAGGCAAGTCTGTACGGCGTCGGCGCTCATGGCGGTGTCACTCTGGAGCAACGAGCGATGCCTACAGCCTGCGATCTGCACGCTACGGAGACGATATTTTATGTGGTTTGTTGGTCGTGGTTGGTGGTTTGCAGATGGTGATGTTCGTGCGGGCGGTGGTTTTTGTGGCTTGTTTCAGATATGGTTTTTGTTGGTGGCAGTAGTAGAGGATCTGGCGGTCGTGCTAGGGTTTGTTGGATCGATGGTGGATCAGGTGGTGGTAGATTTGACAGGGTTTGTTGGGTCTGACGGCGGCGGTGGCGGTGACAATGGTTTTTGTTGGTAGAGGTGGTGGTGGATCTTGCATTGGCGATGGAGAGTATATATAACTAATACTTTTTTTTTTCAAGTAGTGATGAGGCGGCGATGATGGTTGTGCGGTGGATCTAGGTAGGATGGCAGTGGTGGTTTGGGTGGTGTTGGTGAGTTTGTGTGGTGATGGTGGTGTGGTAGATCTAGGAAGGACGGCGACGGTGGTTGTTGGCAGTGGTGATTTGGGTTTTCTGTGACAAAATATAATCTGTGACTAAAAATATAATCTGCGACCAACCATTTTTTCATCTGTGACCTAAAAATTATATAATCTGTGACTGTAAAAAAATCTGCGACCAATTAATTTGAAAATCTGTGACTGTGTGACCTATAAACTTTGATCTGTGATCAACTAATTTTGAAATATGTGACCAACGAATTAATGTGACCTATAAAATTTTTGAACTGTGACCGTAAATTGTAAATTTGTGACCAGAATGGTCGTCGAAATAATTGTCGGAATCGGAGTAGTCGTCGGAACGGTCACCGGAGAAGAGTGATGGTCGGAATAGTCTCCGGAGCAGTATGGGTGGTGTATGTGGGATGAGTTAATTATATTATA